TCGCCACTATTTGATTGCGGAAGTCGAATATCACGCCATATGAACACTACCGCGTACTCTGTATTTTGAATGTAACAAAAGGATGAAAGAGACATTTCCCTTAGGCTACGCAATCATATCAATAAATCTTGATCCTGATTTCGCTACCATATTTCGAAGAAAAATTCATGTTTTAAATAGCCTTGAAAGCGTGTTTTAACTTGGGTTGCGGGTAGGAATTGTGAAATACTATATTTTAATTAGCAGTCATTCAAATGTTTTTCGCCAAGTCGTTTAAAGAGAGGAATAAAAAACACTTAAAATTGTCGCTCTAAAGAAGGCAGCCATCTTGAAAAATGTATTTCACCGTCATTTCTTTTTTGAAGTTAAATGCGTGTCTGTTAATGCAATGAAATTTAGCTCCGATGAAAATTGTTAGCTCTGTGTCAACTTTACGGTTCACTAAACCAACAAGTATAGTGAAAGTGCGTCTGGAATATTCACATGTCTGTTGTCAATTTTTGAAAGCGCAGGTTCTTACGTTAATATGCAAGAATATTTATTCAAAATTAAGATCGGTGCCCTCGGTTATATTTCTTTCTTTAAGAGTGAGGCATGGAATTAAAAGAAATAACTCACACTTTACAAAAAGCAGTTGGCGCGACCGCCTTTGCGGCTTTGATAACAAACAACACGCTTGAAAATTTCCCCGACCGCTTCAAAATTTGATTCATTAAAACCGCAAAGCAGCGATCATCTTTTATCCACCTACGATGTGGTTTGGAGTCATTGATTATACTAACTCTAACTGGCTTACAAAATTGTGTCCTCGGTCCTCCCTGTACAACTTCATGTGCTTAGTGAGTCTCGTTAGTCCGCACATTGCATTTATTAGGCATATGTTATGATATCGTTTTGTTCAAAAGACACCTACCTTGGCTGTAACACATCTGAAAATTGATCACGCACATTAGGATAATTCTGAAGGCAATATTTTTCAAAGGTTCCATTTTCTCTTTCGTCTGCTAGCGCTCAACCATTTAACAGGTTTCCATTCCCGAGACATCGAATCCGTCTGGCGGTTTTATCCACGACCAGCCTACAAATAGCATTTAAAATAAAATAAAAAAATTAGTCAGTGCAGTATTAAAAGAAAACAACTACAAAAAACAGAGATTTACTTGCATAAAGTACTCGCGCTGAAAAAAAACCCTTACCAGTTTCATTTTTCTTACCTGCGATTTGGCGAGCTTTGCACGCCTCGTGGACAGTTTGGGCGATCGAAAATTTCAGGTCACTAAATCGAAACGGCGCCAAATTAACATAAACTCTTTATTCTTTTTTTCCATGTGTCATTTGATCACAGCCTGAACTAATTCCACTTCCTTTATTCACTTGGTAACTATAGCATTAGAAAATTTCTTGTCAACAATTTACTGCTTATCATGAAATAAGAGATCGATATAAACTCTGGAATGTTTTCATTTGAATTTCAGTTCAGTGTTGTTTGTGAATTCATTTACAGCATCTTTCGATTTTAATTTTAGCTATTCTCTAGAGGATGACGTTATCTCCATGCCGACCGCACCATTATAAATAATTCATGTTAAAACGCGAACCTTTTCTTTGTTTGAGCAGTAGGTGTTGTGTAAACATTACTTAAGGGTCGTCCAATAGCTTTGGCGTGATTGATCCTCTTATTAAAACAAAGAAATTGTTCTATAACTAAAGAACTTCAAGGCTTAGAACCTTGAATTTGTGAATCCTGAGCTGATTTCAGTTTTAAACGATTTCTTTTCACGACTTAGCGAGGATATTGATACAGAGGTACCTGTAAGTGACCTGTCGCTCACGAACTGGGTCCAATCAATTAAATAAGCGAAGTAAGGCCTTTGCAATAAGGCTTTCGAGGCAATTAGCAACAAGTAATAGATGAAATTGTAAAATTTAAACCGTCCTAGTGACATGTGGCAAGACCAGATTGTAATCCATCGCAATTCATAGCGACGGAGATCTATCGGCCACAAATTAAAACATGTGTTTCCACGTTAATGATTCGCACTACGTAGTTCGCTCAAAAACTTACGTTCATGGCGCTAGTGTCATAAAATTCAGTTGATTTATGGTTTCTGTTCCGATGCCAGTTGAGAATGAACCGTTAAAACACCGTTGTAAGACGTAGCTCTTGAATATGACTGTATCGTGGGCGCCTTGTGCTAATACCAGCAGAAACATCCCTCAAAGTTATGAATTTTTTATTACTGGTAATGTCCATAAATATACAGAACAAGCTCAGGTTTGGGGTTTTGCAACAATCAACACATTGTCATTGCGCAAGGATGTGATAGCCTCTAACATGGCGTGAAACAAAAAACATTATCTTTACGAACCAAAACAAACCACAGCCACAAATGTAAAGGCTAGGTTACTGACAGTTGAAATAAGTTTTAGTTTTACTTTCTTCTGTGGCCACAAACTTAAGTTGCAGTTCAAACCTCGTTTGCTGTTCAGCACTATTAACACCTAGTAATACTCCATCTACAATTCTTGCCTTAAATATTAAATAATGTTATGTTTTTGTACATGTCATTGCATAGGAGGCACCAATTCGTGTTTAATTTAGAACCTTCTACTGGTCGGAAAGAATTACAACTCAAACTAAATTGGCCTGTACCAGGAAAATTGTAAAAGGTTTGTAAAAGAAAAATTTCCATGCGGCTCGCATTTTAACTATACTCGTAACTTTCCCATTATTGTTTTAGAGATCTTTAAGAAAGAAATAAGAGAATATAAACAAATTCACAATCTTGATAGGAAACTTGAAAAAAAAAAACCGCAAAACAATCAGTGATTGATGAATATTTCTACTTCTATCATCATAAACTTTTCTATTATCGGAAAAAGACAAAATAGCCTATTGGAATCAAATGAAAATAGTCTATAGAGTTTGAGCGTTACGATCATTAATACGCTTTAGAATATCTCCTGACAGCAATTTATTGACAGCTTATAACTGGCGATGAAAATAGAAAAAAAAAAATTTTTTCACCCTTCAAGTCTCCCTAGGCCTGTCCAAAAACTGATGTGTCACTTCGTGATCAGGAGACTTAGCTTGTGCAAAATTTGTCGACGTAAACTCGATGAGAATCCTTGATGTTTGAATAGTTGTTAATGTGGAAATTCTGTTCAGAATTCATTAGGAAGTTAGTGCTTGATAAATGTTTTCAAGAGAAAAAAAATGGACCATTTGGTATTTTGTATTACGTAATGACCATGTTGAGTCTTACTGAATGAAACGTATTGTTTATACGCAGTCTAGCTTGGCAGATAAATTTTATCAATTTTTACCTGAAAACACAAAGTTTTTTCTTTAATCGCAGGAAGTTGAAACTTGCCGCCACATTGTGGAAATCATCAGGCAATCTAAAAGATACATGAGGATTCCAGAAGAATTAGAAGCAAACATTAAAATACTAACAGTTATAATATCAATAATGATAATAAAAAGCTTGTTCACCTTTTCTTCATGAATAATTCCTTAGGCCATAAAACATCATAGTAGTCCTCTATTTGACCGTTGATAGCAAATAACGTGCAACTTTTTCAGTTGATAGCAAATAGCGTGTTGAATTCAAAGTTTTGAGCTTAAAACAACAAAATCGCTTTTGTTCACTGATCCTGAACGACAATTCATAAGAGCGTCACAAGGTCCTAAAATTAAATGGTTTCTCATTTTACCCGATAAATGACAACTCAAAACGGATTCATCTTTCATTATGGTTTGAGTTGAAGAATGTAAACATGGCATCTCAACTTGAGGATCGAGTGTCTCTGTAATTACATGACCCTCCATTTTATTTACTAAGAACTGAGCGTCTCGAACAGGCTGATGATAAATCTAAGATACTTTGAATGATAAGTTTTTACATACTAAGCTGAAATATACACGCAATTTAATTGGTTCTTACTGATATGATCTATAAGAGGGCAGACGCATAGATGGCATCACCATAGACAACATTTAGCTTATTTATTATGTAAAACAATTTTCAAGCACTTTTCTCACATTATGGGACATATAAGTACCAGTGTATGCCTGAAAACTACCCACAATACCTTTCGGAGTTGTTTCTATATAATTACACAAAGTTTCTCGAAACAGCTGTTTAACACAAAATACTTGAGTTGCTTGGGTGATTAAAGACATATGCACGCTCTGACTAATTAAAGATTCAGTCACTATAGATAATCCTGTAATCAACTTGCCTGAAGCAATCTTCACGAGGAATCAGTTATTGAAAATTTCTCCATGCTTCTCAAGGATGAAATGACGAAACAAATTTAGAAGATATGGATGCTTTCATAATCAGTGTCCGAACAATTATACTATAACAGTTTTCACCCTAGTTTGATGAAGATTTTAAAAATAGATTTATCTCCCACTCTTTGCCTCAGAGATCGATTACTTGTCTATATTAACTTCGTATTTAGTGAGCAGTTGTTAAAAAGCAACAGATGAAGCCTAAAATGTCATTTTACTTTGCAAAGAAGAACAAACTTTGTGTCTTTAAACGTTTTCGTGCGATGCAGTAAACATGTCAAAACTATTCATGATATTAAAAAAATTGTATACTTAATACATTGGTTCCATAATGTCTGCCTTAATTCAGTCCTAAAGCTCACAATAGACCTATTCCAAAAGCATTGACTTTACAACGGATACAAGTTTTTCAGAGTGCACTGAATAAATGTTTTTTTTTTGTACTAAAAGCTTACATTGCCATGTGACCTTTTAAGTACCAAGGTTCAGAGATGCATGATTTTACCATGCATGATTTCCAGATCAGAATGGTAAATGACAAACATTGCCAAAAAAGATTAAAATTATCAACAATCCCACTACCAACCTCTTTTAAAGTGTCAAAACCGATACGCTCCTTTCTTTATCTCAGAATATAGTTAGAATAATAATAATAATAAGAGTATTTTTATCTTCGTCGTTTGAATATTGGCTGTCTCAATACCGGCAGGTGAAGTGAAATCATAAATAAGTAAAAATATCAAAATTTATTTCATGTCAATATTTTCCTTGCAAGGCCCATATTTGCCGCTTATTTGTTGGTTTGGAGTTTTTTCAAATGGAATTTCTCTTCTAGGACCTTGCGTGTTCTAGAATTGTCTATAGATGAATTTTTCCCTTTTCCTCGCCTAACGATTGTGATATTGTTTCGACCCTTATACCGAGAGATATTCCATTATGGTGCAAATTTGTCGTAGGTGATGAGAGGGAAGATTCACCCCATGATGTGCCTTGACAATGATTTACAGTATGATGACCACCCTGACCTTAACCACTATCGTATGGTGCAAGGT